CAACAAAGATTAGTTGGTCAATTTTCAGCTGTATCAGCATCTCAAACACTTGGGCTCGTTATTTTTGTGTGTTTGCTTTTCAGTTTTGCTATTTCTTGGACCAGAGTACCTAAAGGGCTCAAAATGAAGGCCCCTAAGGGTACTAGAAGGACTGGCACTATCCCAGGAAACTAATCTAGCAGTAACCTTGACCACTATGTTTAACATGAGTGTACGTGAAATACACATATGTTGCAATGCAGATTTGTCGCTAGTTCTAAATATAGTTCTCCAAATCTTACGGTAATCATATTCCAGCTGCTCATATTTGGGGTCAGAGAATCTGAAAACGTAGATAAATAGACAATCGTCACTAAGTGAAGTAGGAAAAACAGAGTTTTTTGTATGTTTGCTCTTTTAATGGAAGTATAGTTGACGTAAGATGTTACCCTAGTTTCACATACACAACACAGTGAGATTGCACAGGTCTCTATGTCATGCTGTTCTCACCACAAGTGTAGTCACCATCTGTCACCATACAATGCTATTGCATTGACTACATTCCCTGTGCTGTACCTTTCATCCCTGTGACTTAGCCCGTACCTACAAGCCTGTACCTTCCTCTGCCCTTCACCCATTTTACCCATCTCCTTACCCTCCCCTCTGGAAACTATCAATTTCTTCTCAGTATTTATGGGCTTGTTTCTACTTTTTGTTTGGTCATTTGTTTTGTGTTTCAAATTTTACCTATAGGTGAAATCATTTGGTATTTGAATTTCTCTGTCTGACTTATTTCATTTAGCATCATACCCTGTAGGTCCATCTGTATTGTCGCAAATGGCAAGATCTCATTCTTTTTTATGACTACTATTCCACTGTGTGTGTGTGTGTGTGTTTTCCAAACATTTTTCGATTGTTGTGTTTTTGTTCTTGTCTCTATAGATAGTTTTTATTTCCTTCTTGATTTCTTCATTGAGGTCTTTCACCTCCCTGATTAGGTTTACCCCTAGGTATTTTAGTCTTTGTAAATGGAATGTTTTCTTAATTTCTATTTGTGCTACTTTATCATAGTGTGTAGAAATGCAACAGATTTCTATATATTCTATATTCAGCAGTTATGGAATTCATTTAATATTTTTAATGTTTTGGTGGTGGCTTTAGGGGAAAACAAAGAGCTTTGAATAAGACAAACTGCACTTAATTCCCATCCTTTCCATTTCCTAGCTCCATGGGCATGTTGGTGACTCATGTAAAAAGTTAGGGGAGGCTTGGTAAGCGCATAGAATGCATTATAGTAAGAATGCATTATTAGGCACGTGAAGTCTTGCCTAACTTATAGTTCTCTTTCCTACTTGTGTGTCACCTTTTAAATGTGCTAATTTTTCAAACCACTTTAGCAGCAACGTTTCTATCAGGAAAGCTCACCCTTCTTGTTGCCAGAAGTATTTTGCCGTTCACTCATTCACTCATTCACTCAACAGAGATTTACTTACCAATCCCTATGTGTCAGGAATTGTGTTGGGAGACACAAAGATGAAGAAAATACAGAAGTCCTGCCCTCTAAGGGCTGACCTGGAATTTGACCTCTGTTTTCTTCCCGAGAGATAGGGAGCAAATGTGGCAAAATGTTAATAATTAGTGAATTAAGGAGAGGGTACACATTCATTGTACTTGCCTTTCAACGTTTCTGTGAATTTAACATGTTTTAAAACCCAGAGTTGGGAGAAAATGTATTTCTGTTACACGGTGGTTGTAACCCCTGGAAACCATTATTACCTCCCAGTGTTTCAGCATTATTTCGTGTCACCTAGCCAAAGCCTTTAGGAGAGGCACACTACTGGAAAGTGCTGGGGATGGGAGATGGCAGTGAGAAAGGCCTGGAAAAGTTAACAGGTGTGGTTACCTGGAGCCACACAGCAGGGGCCTTGGGGCACCTGGACACCCAGAGATTGAGGGGGCCAAACAGGAAGTGGAGGGTGGAAGCCAGGGGATGGGCTCCAAGGATAAATCCTGCCCTGTTCGTTATCCAGTGGCTGGCCAGCTCTGACCGGTCTTCTCGGGGAGGGTGTGGGGGCATTTGTCACATTCTGTGCTCTCCACTGCCAACCACTGATGACTGATTTGAGCCTAGAGATTGTGTGTACTTCGGAGCCAGCGCGGCCCTTGTGAGACTCTCAGCCTTGCGGAATGAACTTGGACAAGCTAGTTTGTCCTGTCTACAGGTTTTGCTCCATTCTCGACAGAATTGCAGTAGGTTGTGTGTGAGACATTAACGAGACGATTTGTGCAGAGTGGTTGCATAGGGCCTGTGCATGGCACCCCTTACGACATGTATGATGGCATATATATATGACCTTAGTCAACGGCACTATGACACACTTGCCCAGAAGCCTCTGCTTGACGCCTCTTTGCCTCACCCCTCCCGCATCTAGTTCATCGGCATGCTTCTCCTCCCTGCTTCCAAATACATATCCTGAATCTGACCACCAGTGACACCCAGTGAGGCTACATCTCCATCTCTTTAAAAACTTTTTTTTTATTTTTTTTAATGTTTTATTTATTTTTGAGAGAGAGACAGAGTGTGAGTAGGGGAGGGGCAGAGAGAGAGGGAGATGCAGAATCTGAAGCAAGAGCGAGGCTCTGAGCTGTCAGCACAGAGTCCAATGCGGGGCTCAAAGCCACAAACCATGAGATCATGACCTGAGCTGAAGGTGGACACTTAACCAACTGAGCCACCCAGGTGCCCCTAATGTTTGTTTGTTTATTTTATTTTACATTTTTTAATGTTTTATTTATTTCTGAGAGAGAGAGAGAGACAGCATGAGCAGGGGAAGGTCAGAGAGAGAGGGAGACACAGAAGCTGAAACAGGCTCCAGGCTCTGAGCTGTCAGCACAGAGCCTGATGCAGGGCTCGAATCCACAACTGGTGAGATCATGACCTGGGCTGAAATCAGACACTTAACTGACTGAGCCACCCAGGCGCCCCCCTAATGTTTATTTTTCAGAGAGAAAGAGAGAGAGAGAGAGAGCAGGGAAGGGGCAGAGAGAGAGGGAGACACAATTCGAAGTAGGCTCCAGGCTCTCAGCTGTCAGCATAGAGCTCGACGGGGCTCAAACCCACAGACCATGAGATCATGACCTGAGCTGAAGTCCGGCACTTAACTGAGTGAGCCACCCAGGCATCCCTACACCTCCATGTCTTATCTGTCGCCTGCAGCAGCCCCGGCTTGCTCTTCCTGCATCTGGGCTTATCCCCTTTCCCCCAGAATGTTCTCCACAGCAGACATTCTCAAGCTTGCTGGAGAATGTCCCCTCCCGCCCGAGCCCTCCTGTGGTTCCCATTAGCCGTGAATGAACCCCACTCCAGACCCTCACATCGTGGCCTGTGTCCTGCCAGCTCTCCAGCCTCACCTCTGTCTTTCCCCACTGCATCTGGGCATGCTGGCCTTCCTTTTGTCCCTCAGACACATCAGCACTCACCAACCCCTCACAGTTTCTTCACGCGCTCCCTCCTCCTGACACGCACTTCCTTCAAGTCTCCACATGTTGCCTGCCTGTCCTTCAGGTTTCCGTTCAAAGGTCATCTCCTCAAATCCTTTTGCACTGCTGGTAGGAATGCAAGCTGGTGCAGCCACTCTGGAAAACAGTGTGGAAGTTCCTCAGAAAGTTAACAGAACTACCCTGTGACCCAGCAATTGCCCTACTAGGTATTTATCCAAAGGATACAGGTGTGCTGTTTTGAAGGGGCACTTGTACCCCAATGTTTATAGCAGCGGTATCAACAGTAGTATGGAAAGAACCCATACACACACACACACACACACACACACACACACACAGTGGAGTATTACTCAGCAATCAAAAAGAATGAAATCTTGCCATTTGCAACTAGTGGATGGAACTAGAGGGTATTATGCTAAGCGAAATTAGTCAGAAAAACAAGTATCTTAGGGCTTCACTCATATATGGAATTTAAGATATAAAACAGATGAGGATAAGGGAAGGGAAGCAAAAAGAATATAAAAGCATAAGAGACTTAAATACAGAGAACAAACAGGCGTGCTGAAGGGGCTGTGCGTGGGGGGATGGGCTAGATGGTGATGGGCATTAAGGAGGGCACTGGTTGGGAAGAGCACTGGGTGTTACATGTAGGGGATGAATCACTGGATCCTATTCCTGACATCATTATTGTACTATATCCTAGTAACATGGATGTAAATTTAAGAAAAAATTTAAGTAGAAAAGAAGAGTCATCTCCTCCGCAAGGTCTTTCCTGACCATTCTCTCTAGTGCCACCTTTACCCCTCTGGTCACTACTGCCCTGTTGTATTGTTTTTAAAGTGCGTGTCATTACCTAGAATGACTTCATTTGTTTATTTCATCCTTGTGTGCCTCCCTTTTAGAATGGAGCCGCCAGGGAGGTTCACAGTTCATCCAGTAAACAGTCCCCTTGGGTCTTGTTCACAGTCTTAGACCATAACAAAATACCACAGACCGAGGGACGTAAGCAACAGAAATTTATTTTCTCATAGTTCCAGACGATAGAAAGTCCTAGATCCAGGTTCTAAGCACAGTTCAGTTTCTGGTGAGAGCTCTCTTCCTGCTTCTCGCTGCACCTCACATAGCATTTTCTCTCATTTCCGCCTCGCATTCCTGTGGAGAGGTAATGAGAGAGAGAGAGAGCTCTCTGGTGTCTTCTTCTTATGAAGACAATAATCCTATTGGATCAGGACCCCGCCCTTATGACCTCATATAACCTTGATTACCTCCTTAGCAGCTGCCATCTTCAAATACAGTCACATGGAGGTTGGGGCTCCAATATAGGACTTTCGTGATGGTGGGGTACAGTTATTCAGTCCATAACGTTCACCACTGTGATGCCCGCACCAGAACCTAGAAGACAGCCTGGCATGTGATAGGCACTCAATAAATATTTGCTACATAAATTAACGAATCGTGAAAGTCTGCTTCCCTGTAAGTTCATACAGACGTTGCCCCACACCTGGCACTCCATCCTGCAGGTCAGGGCGTGTCACTGTACATCCCCCAGTCCGCCATCAATGCCACGGTGGAAGAAGACATCTTGCTCTCAGTTGAGTACTCCTGCCACGGTGTTCCCACCATCGAATGGAAGTATACCTCCCACTGGGGGGCACAGAAGATCGTGGAGTGGAAGCCAGGCACCCAGGCCAACATCTCCCAGAGCCACAAGGACCGGCTCTGCACTTTCGACAATGGCTCCATCCAGCTCTTCAGTGTGGGCGTGAGGGATTCCGGCTACTATGTCATCACGGTGACGGAGCGTTTGGGAAGCAGCCAGTTTGGCACCATCGTCCTGCATGTGTCAGGTAAGGCTGCCCCGGGGGGAGGGGAGCTGGCACTTCTCTGAACTGCCAGCATGTGGGGGAGCCACTTCATGATATTAGAAGAGACCTTCTCTCCCCCTTGCCTTACCCGCCCTGTAGAGATCCTCTATGAAGACCTCCACTTTGTCGCTGTCTTCCTTGCTTTCCTCGCTGCTGTGGCCGCACTGTTAATCAGCCTCATGTGGGTCTGTAATAAGTGTGCATACAAATTCCAGAGGAAGAGGAGACACAAACTCAAAGGTAATTCGCTGGGCCCTGTGATAATCAAGTCGTGCTTTTAGGGCTGGAGGTGGTATGCATTATCCTGGTCTTCCAAGGAAACCACCTGTGGCTGACTGGCAACTGACCGGCTTGTCTTCTGCTTTGCAGAGAGCACGACTGAGGAGATTGAGCTGCAAGATGTGGAGTGTTAGCCAAGGCTGCGCCCAGTTACATTCCTACCTCAAGAGGAAGACAGGATTTTCCACAAAAGGCGCGAACAGGGCCAGTCCACCCGCAGAGCCTCCTGCCCCCCTGCCGTAGCCACACATTCCCGACGGTTGTTAACACAGTTGACTGCATGGACTTGAGGACTCTGGATTGGACAAAGCCCGTTCTAGTGCTTGCAGGAAGTTCAAGGAGAAGCCTGCGTGAGGGTCCGGGCCACGGCCTTGCAGACCCGCGCCAGTGGCCTCGTGCTGGCCCGGCTGCCAGCTGGCTAGGCTCTGCTGTGGCTCTGGGGGTTGCCACTGGAGGAGTCTCCACGGCCTAGGCCGGAGTGTCTCCAGGCCGAGTGTGCAGCCAGCACTGGACAGGCCCTCTCTGCTCCTTCCTGCTCGGCCGGTCGCTCCAGCCTCTGCTGCCGGAACTCCTGTGAGAAAACCCGAGGCTTTTAGATGATCTCCATGCCAAGCAGGGGAGAGAGACTGAGAGGCTGCCCCTGGGCTCTAGTGAGGTGCTCAGAGCAGGCTCCGGGTAGGCCTGGTTAGGGAGAGGGGCTCCACTTGTTCCCAAGGGACTAGTGTCTGAAGCAAGGAGCAGGGAGAAATTACCTATCTCTTCCTCTCTTAGCCCGACATGAATTGGATTTTCCCTCCTCTGGCCCCCACGTAGGCCAGTGTGAGGCACACAGACGTTCATCTCTACTGTGGGCAGCCGCTGGCCCCCCAACGGCTTCCTGACAAGCCGGGTTCTGGTCCCTGTGAAAGCGAAAGCGAGCCTGCCTGGTGAGCAATGCCCCTCTGTCACCAACACTTTGTATCAAGTCAGGCCCTTGCTCTCTCCCAAGTGGGCATAGGAACACTTGGTGCTCACCTACCTCACAGTCCGGGGGGGCGGGGGGGGGTATCAGGTGAAGCCTACGGTACCACAGGGCTCACCGAGCAATTTCAGAAAAGCAGGAGGATTCTTCAAGGATCTGGGAAGCAAAGCACTCTCCTGAGTGCTGCAAATTGATAACATGCTCTGGTGTACGGGGCTCCAGGGGGACCTGGGGACTGGAGCACAACTGGCCTGGGCTCTTAGGCTCTCAGCTTATTAGTCACTGTGTTTACTTGAAAGTTTCTCCACCCCGACTTCCATTTGGCAAGCTCTAAAGTAGGCAGAATTTATTTTCATTATCCTTTCTCTCTCAGACATTCTTAGCTACAGACTAAACGCACCATCCCAGTTACGGTGGAGACTGAGGTTGGGTGCTGTGTCCTGAGCCTCCACCTGCAAATTCACCCATGCAAACGTGAAGGAGAGGGAGAGCATTCCCTTCTCTTCTCCTTATTTTTTTAATTATTTATTTATTTTAAATATTTTTATTTATTTCTAGGAGAGAGAGAGAGAGACAGTGTGAGCAGGGGAGGGTCAGAGAGAGAGGGAGACACAGACTCTGAAATAGGCTCCAGGCTCTGAGCTGGCAGTCAGCACAGAGCCCGATGCGGGGCTCGAACCCACGAACCGCGAGATCATGACCTAAGCGAAAGTCGGACGCTTAACCGACTAAGCCACCCAGGCGCCCCGCCCTTCTCTTCTCTTTAAAAAAAAAAAAAAGTTTGTTTTTGAGAGAGAGAGAGAGGTGGGGGGAGGGGCAGAGAAAGAGGGAGACAGAAGATTCAAAATGGGCTCTGTGCTGACAGCACACAGCCCGAGTTGGGGTATGAACTCATGAACCATGAGATCATGACCTGAGCCGAAGTGCCATGCTTAACCGACTGTTCCACTAGGTGCCCCTCTCTTCTCTTTAAGTCCCCAGAGTCCACATCTTTTCTACTTCCCATGTGGCAAATAGGCGGCCTGGAGAAGTTAGGCCTTTCTGTGAATAATCCGGGATTACAAGAAGGGATCTTTCGGAGTTGTCAGACAGGAGCTCTGTGATCTTCGAGAAAGACTAATAAACCCCAGGCTACCTCCTGGGCACAACCTGTAAACACGCATACCTGTGCCTTTTCCCCAGGCAGCAGAGGGACCAGTCCCCTGCAGGGACGGGTTCCTCAGACACGTCCCCGCTAGCATGAAGAAGAGTACTGAAGTAAAAAGGGGGTCAAGGATAATCTGATTAGTTCTTTCTTGTCTTTCTCACAGAAAGCCCATCAGCAGGAAACCCGTTTGGATCTGGACGGCTGCTGGAGCATTGTGTGTGCTCTTTTATACTACCTGCTTTCCAGAACTGTACTTCTCAGCTTGTCAGAAGCCAGGGGTGGTAATCTCCAGAATAAAAGGAGAAATGGAAGTGAGAGGCCTCCATGGGTAAACCCAAATTTAAACTAAACTGCCTCCGCCCCAAAGCTCCCAAGAAGTTCTTCCCCCTGGCTTTCCATTTCTTTATTTTGCACTTTGAAAGCTCCCTCCATCCTGAACATTCTTGTGGAAAGTATTTGATTCCAGGGTCCGAAGTGTTTTTTGTCTATTTAAAAAAAAAAAAAAAAAATGAAATTCTAGAGGTTGGCCACTGGAAATGTAAAGCTATAAGTTATGTTTTAAACTGTGAAAAAAAATTGTTTTAAAGAACAAATAAAGCCTGAAAATAAAGCCCTGGCCCTTTGTGTGTGGAGTCCAGCCCTGCCAAGCACTCAGAGGCCTTGGGTGAGGTTTCCATCATCTGTGGGCATTAGCAAAACCCTCAGCCACAGCGTGGGTCAGGCACAGTTTTTAAACAAGCGAACTGTAAACATTTTTTAGCGATTCTGAAAAACACCTGCCCATCATCCTGCCCTGTGTCTTCCCAGAAGACTAATTTGAAGTTTTTGCTTCCAGAATATTAATCATAATTCAACAGAGTCCTTTCTGCTTCCGGAAAGAGCTGAAATAAAGCTGTGACCATTGTACCGCCTCGTGCAACAGTGCGTAAGATGCCGCAGGGAACATAGTATGCTCTGTCAACAGAACGTCCTTTCAGATTGTGATCTAAGAAAATTAAAAAGGTATACACACTGTACTTTTTCATTTCATGGTGTCCCGGGTACGGAAGGAGGCGGAGGCCCACGTATAGCACGCCACACCCCCCTTGGGGTAGAAATCACATGAAGGTGAGGAGCCGGGCAGTGCGAGATAGCCAGGCTGAGACCTGCCCTATCAGGAGCCTGCTGTCAAACCGTGGGGCAAGGGAACCCTCCCTCTGCCATCGGTTTCACATCCCAGCCTGGGTTTCTTCAGCTGCTGCCGGGAAGCATCGGGCACCTCTCTGGTTTAGGGATGCAGAGTCAGCCCTGTGGCCACTGGGGGTGCTTCCGTCCACAACGCAACTTCTGGTGGGGTGGCGCCTATCCAGTCCAGTGTGGTGATGCTCAGGACACTACTTCCACTGCCTTTTAGAAATTGGGTGGGCGTTTGGGCTTGGTTTCATTGCGAAAGGGAGAAATCCTTCTTTAGAATTGAAGTGATACTCAAGTCTGTTTATAAAGTAAACAGTGAAATTCTCCCTCAGGTCCTACTCCCCAGAGGGAAGAGTAGTTACACTGAGGCTGTATCCTTCTAGCCTTGGGCATCTATGAACCTGTCTGTCTGTCTGTCTCTCTCTCTCTCTATATCTTACAACTGGCTTGTTTTCCCTTAAAGTTTCTTAGGCATTATTTCATGTCTCTGCCTATTCCTAAACTTCATTCTTATTGCCTGCACAGTGCAAACTCCAGCATGGATATATTACAATTGTTCACTCAAAAGGTACTTTCTATTTCAAATGATATATACAAAAATAAATATCTTGGGCTATCTTTCGTTTCAGGCAGACTTGTTCCTTCAACCATCGTGGCTTCCTCTTGTTAACTAACGCATTCAGCTCTGTTCCCTAGGAATTCTTTCCTCTTTCAGGACTTCAGAGTCAATGTTTCATGATATTGGTGGGTTTTATTGTAAAGCTTATTAGAGACTGTTTGAAGAAGGAAGAAAGAGGATTGTTCATGTAAAAGAAACACAAAGTTTTAGCTTTAGATGTGACCTTATAAAGTGGAAACACAGGTAAGTTCCATTCCTTTGATGCAACAGACCAGTGTTTGTTTACTCAGGCAGTTCTGGCCCTAAAAATGCTAAAAGTATTTTTCCTTCAGGTACCTCATGGTTTGAAAGAATTTTCCTTACCAAACACAATGAATTTATTAAATATTTAATTTTCTGTTTTGTTCATTAAAAATACAAAAGTGTCCATTAGAATTCCTGGTCAAAATGAAACTATGGGGATCACTTTGATTTGATGGCATTCTGGCAAAGAAATCTGATGGTGAAGTTCTGTGGGGTAAACATATGATCGCCTTGAGGCTTTCTCAACACAGAAACACAGATCACAGTTCTCTATTACTGCCTTTTGGGTGCTAAGGGGCTTGGACTGGGAGTATTTGTAAAGTGAGTCAAAAGAAAAGCCATGGATTGATTTAGGTAAAAGATATTATACTACTGGCCTCATCTCCACTATTGGGAAGTTCTGCAGATTATGTTGCTTTTTGGGGGGCGGGGGTTAATCTTTTCTTAAATTACATAAATAAATACAGCCAAGACTCTAAGAGAAATGTGTATTTCTCACCTCAGAAAGCACCGGTTTCTGTTTTAATTGAAGTATGATCAACATACAATATTATGGTAGTTTCAGGCATTTAATACTGGTTCAACAATTCCATACATTACTCAGTGCCCACCATATAATGTTATAGTATTAACTGTATTCCCCGTGCTGTACTTTTAATCTCGGTAATTTATTTCATATTCTGAAGTTTGTACCTTTTAATCCCCTTTATCTATTACTCCCATTGCCCCACGCATCCTCTGGCAACCACCAGTTTGTTCTCTGTATTTGAGTCTGTTTCTGTTTCTTCTTTTGTGTTTAGATTCCACGTTATGTGTGAACTCCTATGGGATTTATTTTTCTCTGACTTATTTCACTTAGCATAATACCCTCTGGGTCCAACTATGTTGTAACAAATGGCAAGATCTCATCCTTGTTTCTGGCTGTGTGAGTGTATGTGTGTTAATATATATTATGTATATTTCACACACACACACACACACACACACACACACACACACACACACACACACACCACTCTCCTTTATCCATTCATCTATTGGTGAACACTTGGGGTGCCTCTGTACCTCGGCTATAGTAAGTAATGCTAAAAGAAACAGGGGTACATATCTTTTCATTTTCTTTGGGTAAATATCCAGCAGTGCAATTACTGGATCACATGATATTTCTATTTTCAATTTTTTGAGAAACCTCCATACCATCTTCCACTGTGGTTGCACGAGTTTGCATACCCACCAACAGTGCATGAGGGGTCTGTTTCTTCCACATCCTCACCAACATTGTTATATCTGGTCCTTTTAATGCTAGGCATACTGACAGGTCTAAGGTGATGTCCCATTGTGGTTGTGATTTGCATTCTCCTGATGAGCGATGTTGAGTATCTTTTCATGTGTCTGCTGTCCATCTGTATGTCTTCTTTGGAAAAATGACTATTAAGTACCTCTGTTGCTTTTTTCTGGTTGTTTTTTTGTGGAGCTTTATCAGTTCTTTATATATTTTGGATATTAACCCCTTATTGGATATTGGATAGATCACTTGCAAATATCTTCAATAGGTTGCATTTTTGTTTTGTTGATAGTTTTCCTTTGCTGTGCAGAAGCTTTTTATTTTGATGAAGGCTCAGTAGTTGTTGTTTTTTTCCCTGCTTTTGTTTCCCTTGCCTAAGGAGACATATCCTTAAATATTTGCTAAGGCCAACATCCAAGCGATCAGTACCTATGTTTTATTTTAGTTTTATGGTTCTCATATTTAGGTCTTTAACTCATTTGAGTTAATTTTGTGTGGGGTGAAAGAAAGTGGTTCCATTTGATTCTTCTGCCTATAGCTGCCCAGTTTTCCCAACACCACCACCAGTTGTTGAAGGGACGGTCTTTTTCCTATTGCATATTCCTGCCACCTTTGTTATAGATTAACTGACCATGTAACTCTGGGTTTCTCTCTATCCTGTTCTTTATCTCAAACTTCTCCCTCATCTATCATTTCAAGCCACATATAGTCTGTTCTACAACAGATGTTTCACAGTCTGTAAATAGGGAAAAAAAGTATCATATGGAAGCTTTTCTGGTTCCTGTTCAAGGGGAGCCAGAATATTGGGAGCAGAAAAACACCTTCGCCATTTGATGAACTCAACTTCTAAAGAAGTAAAAATGAGCACCAGTATTTTGGGCTCCTTTGTCGTAACTTAGTCCGTTTCCTCTTTTGGATATTTAGACTGGTCTCAATTTTTCAATTTTATAGACTCCCTTGATAATCCTTGGGGGCACAGCGGCTAAGCTGCCATTTCCCCCCTGCCTTTCCTTCCTTTTCCACTGTTCTCCAAGTAGTGGGTAATGGCTATTCTACCCAGTGAGGAAGACCGTGGCAGCTCTCAGTCGCTTCTCAGATGAAGCTTAAGAGAGCAGGTGGTTAGACCTGTGCGTGGGCTCTCTGCTCTGCTCCGTGTGCTCCGGTCATACTGGCTCATGACCAGATAATCCTAGACAACAAAGCATTCTATTTTTCTATGTGCTAGGCATTTTATGTCTATTATAATGAGGGGGGCTTTTATTCTGGATCTCTAAAATTTAATTTTTCTAATACTTCATTTTCATTTACCAAAGTAGCAATATGCAGTGGATGGAAATTAAAAAAAAAAACAAAAACACCCCCCAAAACTAGTCCTCTGGCAAAAGTCCTTTGAGATTCACTGTGAGAGTGAGCCTTCAAAATTACAGAAGACTCCACATGTGAGTAGAGCTGTACGGATTAGCTTAGGATGATTAACTAAGGTGACTTTTGTGGGCCATCATGAAGAGATTTATTTATAAAGTTTTATTTATAATTGTAGATTCCTAAGTTTCATAGAATTTCCATGGATGGAAAGATGCAGTGTCTCAATCAGGAGGGGAAAACAAGCAAACACAGAGATGTTAGGGTATTTTGTGGCTTACATGCTCCATTTTTTCCTTTTAAAAGAAAAAAGATGGAGAAATATAAAAACCTTATAAAGTGACTTTACGGTCATATTATAACTTATTAAAAGGATAGCTTTAAAAAATTGAAAGCCTTTCTCGTAAGGATAACCCTCCTTATGTATTATTTATAGTGGTTCCAAAAGACCCATATTAAACTTAAGTCTCTTATTAAGGGCAGTAACTCAGGCACGTTTTAAGATTGGGGCACCATTTCCAGAAAGTCGAAACATGTTATTTGTTAAATGTAATCAATCCACGGATCCATTAGTATTTTTCTCCTCGCAAAAGAGAGCTAATGGAGTGACACAGAACAGTACTTTTACTATCTTAAGGGACAGAGGTCATTCTAATGGGGGAAGAGACCAAAACAGGAACTGAAAACCCTAAAGATACACTCCACCCTCCATGCCTTCAGCTGGCACTTTCTAGGATGCTCTCGAAGGA